ACTGTAATTTATGCCCTCGGGTGCACAAAATGGAACGAATTATATATACAATCATTAAACAACAGAATCTCATTACAGAAAAAGCAACATTAAATTACAAGACAACTGATAGCTGTTTGTTTCACAACATATCCACAAATACAACAGGGGGGTAAATTTAAAATGATGTCAATATATCAATCAGACGATTTCCTCTTCCCTACAAATACAAGAAAAAATAATAAAAGACAAATTTTATCTAAACTAGGAGAATGGAAGTCAGCTCCCAGAAATAATAACTAATCCTCCAAATAATAAATATAACCCCCTCACAATTGCTAATAAACTAATCCAGTAATACTGCCGAAATACCCCAAAATATTATCTATAAAAAATAAAAATAAAATCAACCTACTTCAAAGCAAAACATATAGCCATGATGACGGTTGATGGTAACCGAATGCGCTCGGCAAAAACTGGGGTCTTTTTTCAACAACTGAGGCGCAAATATAAAGAAACTTGCAAGAAAGCAAGAAAAAACTGAAAGCAAGATTATTAAATGGAAAAGAAGTTCCGTCCGTAGTCTTTAAGAACACATGTGTAATATATATATATATATATATATATATATATATATATGCTAGCACACAATACACAAGAATAGAGGAAGAAAGACATCACAAAAAGATACAGAGGGATATAAAAAGATAAGTCCAATATAGATTCAGATGACTAGTATTACACACAAATACAATGATTAAAGGATTTAACATACGAAGAAAAAAAATTGTTCCTTTAAATAATATGTAGAAATAAACAGTGTTCGCCTGATGAAGGTCACAAGACCCGAAACGAGTGCAGAGAAATATACAGAATAAAATATATAAAAGATTTTCACTATAATAAAAACGTTTTTTTCTCTTTAAAATATACACTTTTCTGTCGTTGTGACAACAATAATCTCTTTCATATATATATATATATATATATTATTTTTTTTTTTTGTGTGTGTGTGTGTGTGTGTGTGTGTGTGTGTGTGTGTGTGTGTGTGAAAATATATAGAAAATAGGAAAGAACTCGTTAGGTAAATAATCCAAAGTTCTTTAGTATTTTTGCTATTATTTAAAAAAAAAAATTGTGCTCGATACAAAAGTAGAGCCTAATTATAATTATTTATTTAAAAATATGATTCCAACGCTACATAAGAGTCCTCATGTTTCAAAACAAGAGCCGAAAACTTCAATATAATTATTTGAATTAAATTGAATCAAAGTACCAAGCTCTGTTCCATCTTAAGCGAATTTTTTTTTTGAATAACTAATTATATATATATATATTTTTTTAATAACTATATATATATATATATATATATATATATATATATATATATATATATATATATATATATATATATATATATATATATATAGAGAGAGAGAGAGAGAGAGAGAGGAGGCACGGTGGAGTAATGGATAGCGGCTTGGATAGAGGAATCGCAGAGCCGAGTTCGAATTCCAGTCGAATTCATTACATTCACTTACGTGCTAATACCCTTGGGAAAGGTATGAATCCTCTCCCTCCAGCTATGGGTAAAATAGCAGGAGAGACTGGGTTCTATAGCCTTGGATGGCAACTGGTCTAGGAGAAGGCCAACTCTGAATTCAAAACCTGTGGAGGGTTGTTTGGGGACCTTGTGGCACTTAGTGCACCAGGTCTCTGTATTCGTCCCTTCAAAAAGTGTGGATGGTCCTTCACGAAACCTTCACCACTATAATCAAATCTCATGTGCCGGTGTCGGGCTGTTGGTTTCCTGGGAACTGATCTGCTTGACCCTCATACGTCGAATTCGACGGGAGAGTCGACTATATATATATATATATATATATATATATATATATATGTCTGAAAGCGACGTCTTTTTTGGTAATAGAATTAGAGCTTACTTTAATTTCTTGATTAAAAAGAAATTTGTTTCTTAAGACAATACAGAAAGGCATTTTATTAATCTGTCAAATTAATGTTTGTCCGACTCTGATAATTTGGTCCTGTTTCTGGGTTTTAACTTTTGTATTTCCCCCCATGAAGATTGAGAAGGTTGAGGTATTCAGTAACTTTGAACTGCTCTTTTCTCTATTAACAAAACACATCTGCCTAATTTCTGAGGAGCATTTGCTTCGTCTGAAAACTCGTCTGAAAGACTTAGCATATAATTTTGTTAATTCCTTTTGGCAGAAGAACCACTTTCAAAAGACCAAAAATCAAAGAAAGATATTTATATTACCAGATCTGACAAAAGTGATGAGATGGTAATATTAAATTATTCCAATTACATCATTAAAATGCTGTGTATTTTAAATGATCGTCGTCAATTTCGGAAATTAGAAGACGTCAATTGTGACGACACCTGAAAAACTTCATAGGAGACAATTTCAGTCTAAACAAAATTTATAATAATATTCGTTCCTTGGATTCCCAATGTCCTCGGATGTATGGTTTATCCAACATTCATAAAAAGGATGATCCACTGAAACCCATTTTGTCTATTCTGGGCTGAACCCAGCATGAATTGACTAAGTGGCTTATTGAGATTCTCGATCTGGTTTTAATATTCTATTCGGAGTATTGTGTTCTTGATTCGTTTCAGTTCTCTGATTATAGGCGTAAACCTAATTCCGACATTGAATTTTTCGTGTCGTTTGGTATATTTAGTTTGTTCACAAATGTTCCGCTTGATGAAACAATTGAGATTTGTACTGACTTTTTGCATCGTGGCCCCGCAAAGCCTCTATCTTTTCCTGTGATTGTCTCTGTTGAGTTGATGAAGATAGCTACTAAGACTGTCTTCTTCAGATTTGATAATTGCATGTATCAATAAATATATGGAGTGGCGATGCGTAGTCCACTGAGTCCTCTGTTGGCCAACATTTTTGTTGGCTTTTATGAAAAACAGCTTTTTGATAGGATTAATAAGCTTTACTCTTACTTTCGCTATGTTGAGTTTACGTCGTTTTCCTCCCGTAGTAAAGCGGAAAAGTACTTTTTTCTTAATAATCTCCATCCTTCTTTAAAATACACTACGTTGGTAGAAGAGAACAATCAGCTACCTTTCCTGACTGCATTGGCAGAAAGAACATTTTTGGGCTTTCTTATCACTGTTTATTGTAAACCTACTTTTTCTGGGCATTACCTAACTTGGGACTCATTTACTTCCAGAACCAGGAAAATGAATCTTATCAGTACCCTTACTCATCGTGCTTTGATGTTGTAGTCTGAGTGTAGGCTTAAAGCTGAGTTAAAGAAAATTAAAAAAGCTGTTATTAATGAATGATTGCCCAGAATGTGTTGTTACATCTACCATTTAGTGAAAAATTAAGTTCAATGAAGTTAAAAAATATGGTCCTTCTAAATGCCCTGTATATGTGAGACTAGTGTGGATTGGTCCCGTGAGTCAAACATACGCCGATAAAACTTGCCTTTTCTATCAAACGGTGTTTCAATGGCGTAATGGTCTGGAACATTTTTCAACTAGAAGGGCTTTCCACTCATGCCGTATGGATGTCCTGCCTGCCCACCAAAAAAGTTTAGATATATATCATTTATTAAAGACATTTTTTTTTATGTTTAACGTTCTTTTTTATAGATACAAGTATTTAAGTAAATGCTCTGTTTATAATAAACAGTATTAAATAACATTTACCGGCCTGAATGTCCGAGAAATTTTCATAGAAAATATTCGTCCTTTGACAGTATTCGAACCTGCATCTTATACGGAACCGTCATTTACGCTGACGTGCCTTACCGTCTCGGCCACAAAGGAGCGTTCGGTAGGCAAGGTCGAATTTACTGCTTATAAACTTCAATCTTCCATGAATCTCGTACATTCATAACTGCTCTGGCGTATCAAATGTAAACAAATGACGTCATATATTAAGAAATGGACAAAGTCCGACAATTTATTTATTAAAGACATTTTTTTTAATGTTTAACGTTCTTTTTTATAAATTTCTCGGACATTCAGGCCGGTAAATGTTATTTAATACTGTTTATTATAAACATAGTACTTACTTAAATACTTGTATCTATAAAAAAGAACGTTAAACATAAAAAAAATGTCTTTAATAAATAAATTGTCGGACTTTGTCCATTTCTTAATATAGATATCATTATAAATGTCGACGTTAGATCGACTGAGAGGGCAAAAGTTAGAGGTTAGCATGGCCCAGCAGATCCTGTGACATCCTTGTCTTCATAGAATCATTAATCCGATATCGGCGAGCATTTATTAAATTCTGTTGCTTGTAAGAAGAACTATTCTCCTGAGTTTTCTGTCTTACATACAAGGGCACCGACCAGACACCATTTAGACATCCTGGAGTCTGTTTTTATTAAGATGAAACGCCCTCTGTAGACAAAGGGAGCTCAAACATAATTTGACTTTATTCAGGGAATCACTCACCTAACTAGAAAGAAAATATTTTTTTCCTTTTCCTTCTCCAACTTTTGGTAATTTATATCTTCTTAATATCAGATGTTGATTTGATAATAATTTTTCCTATCAACTATTTTGCCGAGGATTGTATATTTCTGAAGAAGTGTCAGTGGAAACGTGCCTTAAATTTTAAACGCCGTGATACTTTTGTATCCTATTTTAATGATAAATTATAATCCCACTTAAGATTATTTCATCCTAGATATATATATATATATATATATATATATATATATATATTGATTGATTGATTGTGTATATATCTAAATTACAGAAGAGACTTTCTTCGCCCTGGATGGCAACTAGTCTAGTAGAAGGATAATTCTGAATCTAAAAAGGGGAGAAGGCAATGGAAAAACACTCCAACTATCTTTCCAAAGGAAATTCATCTCACGAAAGGTTTATAGATATCTTTAGTTTTTTTTATTTTAAAAAAGGTAAATACGATTATATATATATATATATATATATATATATATATATATATATATATATATATATATATATATATATCTGTTCATATCTATCACAGTCTGTTTCTATCTATCTATCTAGTCATATCTATCACAGTCTATTTCTTGCTATCTATCTATCTATCTATCTATCTATCTATATACCACAAAATGTATCCTTTCCGTTTACATATTTAATGTATTAGACATCCGACAGCATTCATATTTCCCCCTTCCACTCACCTCTCTAAAACTTCTCTCTGTTAAGGTTTAATCTCCCAACTTCTCTCGTCTGTTACCCCTCTCTTTAGCTCTAAGATTCTTCCCACACTCTCATACTTACACTCTCTCTAAATTCTATTTTTTATTTCCGGAGTTGTGTTTTCATTTTGAATTTGTAGGTCTGATGAATTGGATCGTATTTACGATTCCAATGTAATAAATTATGACCATGGAATATTAGTGTTTAAGTCTTTTATTATATATATATATATATATATATATATATATATATATATATATATATATAATTAAAAAAGAATTTTCTCATGACAAAGATGCAACTTCGTTTCGGAATATTTAGTTGCACTTCGACTGGTGAGAACCAAAATGGTTATGAACAATTTTGTTTGTAAGCAGGCCGCATGTGGAACATCTCTTCCATTTTCTATTTGTTTGAAAAAAATAGGTACATTGTAAGTGGGGATGTATAAGGATAAAGAAAAAAATAGGAGAGGCAAAAAGGTGACAGAATGAAACAATTTGTGTTTGTTGATTTATTGAAGGATTGTTGAGGTGTTAAAGTGATGGTTCGATCCGAAATTTATTTTTTAATCGTCCACAATGGTCAAGTGTTTAGGCATAGCCTTTCTGATCTTCTTAAGAGTGAGAGGGTGGAAGGTGAGAATAGGAGAGTGTAAGACAATGAAAGAGGAAGCAGGGATAAGTTCAAAACGATGGTTATAGTAGTAATTGTAAATACTTTTGATAACTTTAAAACGAAACCAGAGCTGAATTGCTTATATATTTAGATTGGAATAATTGCTACTATTTTTTTAATCAGTGAATGTATTTTGAATATTTATAAATTAAGAGGTAGCGATTTTTTTAGTGTGTTGAATACATAAGTTATTTTTTTTTAAACAATACGTTTTAGTTCAGAATTTACGATAAATTTAAATACCTTTCTACTTATATCTTAAATTCTAATATAACTTTTATAAGCAAATTTCGACCTATTGTTGGACTGTATTAACTTATAGAATGCGTATGGATGTAAATCAATTTATCTTATACTATTACTAGTATTATATATGTGCAAAAGATATTTTCAGAATCCTAATCTAAGATAGATTAGTGGAGAGGTATATAAGAGGGTAGAATTTATATCAAAGGAGGTGAGTTATGATTTTAAACGTGTAGGGTTATGGATTTGGAAGATTAGCAAGATTGTAATATTAGATCTTTAATATGCCTATAAAAAACAGTGGCTTCACATCTTTGATTTAAAAATTGGTTGTGGTTCAAAAGTTTAATAATACATATTTTTCCTGTAAACATAAAAAAACAAGTTTCGTTCAAAGATTTGCAAGTTCTGATTTGTTTTAGGTTTTTCCATTTAACCTTAGGTGTTTTGCTTTCCACCTTCAGTTTCCAAAAGTATTTAGAAAATGATGTCATATTGCGTTTGCTTTTATTAGTAAAAGAGAATATGTGATTGTAATATCAATCCTTAAAATATCTTCTTGTGGATCCCACATACAATTTAATATCCTTGGGGTTCTCATTTGATGACATATATACAGTGGATTTCGTTAGGCACCTGTTTGATAATGGACATTGATTGAGGATTCAGCAGTTACATAGTTCGATTACCTCGGGTATATTAGAATCTGTGTTTGGGTTGCTTTTATTCTCGTTATAAAAGTTTCAGTATTCTATTGTTTTGTGATTTAATAATTTTATCTTGATTTCTAGAACAGATATAGCTAATTTATAGGATATTGCGGTTAAAGATTTGACTTAATTTACTCTTCGTAGGAAAGTGTTTGTTAATTAGATTTAAAATGTATCCTAATTTGGTACGGACTAATTTGTTGAAGGGAGGTATATACCAAATTATTTTCCTTCCTCTATTGTTTTTTTCTAGCGTAACTATAATCTTCCCTATATCTAATTTTGGAAGATTTGTAGCCGCTGTCAGTAAGGATTTTGTTGCAAACAATTTTGCGTTTATCGAATATATATTTTTGGAGGGGGGAGAAGAGTGCTTGTTGATATGGCGTTCAACATATTATGGGATATGCTTAATAACTGGCAGTGGATGATTGGAATTAGGATTTGCATAAATGGCATTAGCGTCATTTTTTAAGGAAGGTTGGAAATTATTAAGGGTTAAATTTAAGGTTACATCTAAGAAATCCACTTGTTTAATGTTAGAATAAATTTTAACTGTGAGGTGTAAAGATTTAAATACTCTATGAATCAATTTCCTCAAATTGTCTACCTTACTCCCGGTAGAACTATTTACTACCATCAGACCATCGTCCCTATAAATCTCTATATTATTTAAGCTAATTTCATTATGTTCAATGAGATTGTACAAAATAAATAGTTCTATTAGATGACTCAGCAGAATCCAACGATCCCACAGATACATCAAAATTTTCATTTTAAAACAAGGGTCAAACTAAAGGTTACCATTATAATCAGAACGAAAAACATTTATTAAATATTAATTATTAACCTTATGTCAGAAATGAAGCACAGAAAGAAAGGTTTTAAGTCCGGAATTTTCGGGCACGCCTTTGTCCTTCATCAACGCGCGAGAAATAAACAGAGAAATGGGAATTACTCACCGACAGATGCTTTTGTGGACGGTGTATTTTCTGGTGGGGATTATATTATTAGCAAAAACCAAATTTTTGTCTGATCTCTTACTGTGAGAAACTTTCACTAGGATCGAGTAGTTCTAAACATAGGCGAGTGGTTTTCCTCGTCGAATCTATCACGCACTCGAGTGGAACCTGCTTGAGAGGATCGCATATATTTTGTTTTGCCTCAATATTAAACACCCCATTAGTAAATCGATAAAAATAGTCAGACATAATAATGTAATAAAGTCAGTATTTCAAATACGGATATCCAAGACTGGAACAATACAATCGTACTTTTGGTATTCATTTGACCTGCATTATGAGTGCAAAAGTATTTATTACCGACAGAATTTTTAGAAAATTATTTTTAAAGGAATATATGCTCTTCCTAGTTAAAATAATGGTGTAATACAATGTTTATATCCACATTTCTAACTATAAAAAAAACTATCTCACTTGTTGGCTACTGTGGCATGTGGGGGCTTCCTTACTTTGCTCAATTCTGTAACAGTAGCATCAGCGGAAATAATCAGATGGGTTCAATCGGAAGTCCCATAAGACATAAAAGCTTTGAACAAGCCCTATTCTTTCTCTTTTTCATTTTCCTTTACGGCAGCCTTTACCCCACGACCAGCTCTCTCTTTTCCATCTTTAATTTCAGCGGCCTCTACACCCAAGGCCCGCTCTTCACCATTATTTCATTTTCAGCATTCTCTACCTTCATGCTACACACAATCCTCGCTGCAGAAGACGAGGCCTGTCTTGGAAGCTTGACGTCAGACTTCTCGTTCCTTCCGCGGGAACCGGCAGAGAAATATTCTTTCGAGATACGATGCATTCCAAAGAAAAACTACACACAACCCTTGCTGGAAAAATGAGGCATGTCCTAGCAGTTTCACACTCGGATTCCTCGTTCCTCCAGTGGGAACCATCGGAGAAATTTCTCTGAACAAATACAACTACTATACTCAAGAATTTTATTAACGGGAAAATCAACCCCACCCCACAAAATACTACTATTTTGAACTCTCTCTTTTCAAACTGAAATAAAAGCTGTTGAACAGTTTTTTTTTCAAGCTTTGTAGTTTTCGTTCATTCCACTCACACTGCCGAGCACAAACACACGCGCAACCGGGAATTCTCAACATAACTTCATATGGATATGCGCTGAAATAAATTATTGTAGCGATCAAAAAATTATGTTTTTTTATCTAACAGATACTGATGAAGGCTGGATTTAATCATTTGAAAGCTAATTATTGAAACAACAAAGATACTAGCATAAATGAAGCTATTTGTACTTTTTATCAGGAGGTATATTTTGTTGCATTGAAAATATTTTAGCTTTTTCCATATTCACCAAATAACCAGAAGATTGGAGAAAAGGAAATATTGAGTATATGACTAAAAATAAACTAATAATAAAATTCAAAGAAAATGTTTAATTTAGTTTTCATTATAAAAAGAACGAAAACTAAATTTAACTTTTTCTTTTATTTTTCTTTATAGACTTTCATTTCATTTGAAATATTGAACTTCATAGAGTAAAAATAAAATGCATTAATATTTTTTAAAATACAAAGAATATGATCTCATGATAAAATACGTTTTCTTTCTCTTGCAGTCAGTATTCAGTCAAAGTCAATTATTTGTAGAAATCTGAATAAGTAAACAACAAGCTTCCCAAAAGCAGGAATGAAGATGAGTAAAGTCTTAAACATTTATGGAATATTAACAACTCATTTCAAAATCTCAGGCAAATACAATAAGGAAGACGAGCATGTCCCGAAATATTTTGTGAATATTAACAACAAAATATCTTTCTGTTCCTTGAGAATGAAGATGAGTATAATACAAAATATCCGATGACAAAATCTCATATGAAAATCTCAGACGTAAAAAAAAAATGATCAAAGAAGTCCTCTTTGATTGTTTCACTGCAAGAAACAGAATTTCATTTGGATTTATTTTCTCATCAAATTCTAAGAAAGATATTTTTGATACATCTTCTGCGTTCTAAAATTGAACTGATACTATTTGCTTGGAACAGCCATCAACATTTCAGTGTTAAGTCAATATGGTTGACAAGCCTAATCGTAAGAACTGAATTTTAACATGAATTTTTTTTTTTTTATTATTGCTTATTTAATGGTGCCTTCTATTATATCTGCCCTCATATAAATTGGATTATTTTTAACATTAACACGATTTCATTTCATTTCTCCAGTGGTTAATTTGTTTGACATTGAAAAATATTTTTCGTACGTTTTAAAATCTCAATATGGCTAAATGTCATTCAATAACTTGTACAGAAAAACGTTT